AGATTCAAATACGTCACGAATGCGTTTCACAGGGCATTTACATCTAGAAAACACATATAGTGGCGTTTATGTTGCATAGTGTGTTCTGTAGACTTGCTATTTATTTATTATCTTTTACACTGTAGTGTACACAACTAACATGTCCTGTTCTGATGACATATTATTTAGGCCTATTTATTAATGCTGTACCAGTCCAATATTACTGTCAGTTGAAATAAATCTTATGTTGTAAGAAAACTTGTTTTATTTATTAATCTTTTTGATGCGTTTTCCAATAACTTTTGTAGTTTTACATCCGTTTAAAAATATCGAAATTAATATCGATATCGCAATATTCATTATCGATATCGCAATATCACATTTTTGTCAATATCGTGCACCCCTAGTGCAAATCTAAATTTGCTGGAAGTTGTCTGGGTTTTCCCAGGCTAATTCCTCTCCCAACCAGTAGAAAATGCATTGAACACCTGATTATGCATGGTAAAAAAGGTCATAAACCAGAAAACCGGCTTTAAAAAAAAAAAAAAAAAAAAACATGATATACATTTTTGTTCAAACCGCCCAGCACTACTCGAAATATTCAAAATCCACCAGTACCACTGGAATTAAAAACATTACAAGCTTACCGCTTTGAATCGAGTCAAGGCAAGCAGATAGTTTTGAACACTGGCTGGTTATGTATTTTCTCAAATAAGTATTTTGGATCATTTTTAACCCCAAAAAAGCTACCGACTGCAGCTTTAATTAAAAGCGCACCTACATTATAAAACTGATTTGAGACCAGTTAAAACCATATATTAGAAACTCTGGTTCATAAGCTCCACATTTTTCCACATCCTGAAACCCTTGTTAATGTACAGTTAAAGCTACAATACCTAAGATTTTATGCCACTAGAGGGCGCTAAAATCAAAACAACAATGGCTTTGCTTGATGACGCCGTGGAGGAACGCGGAATGATGGGAACTGTTGTTTTCAACTCCACCGTGGATAAATCATAGACAGCTTAAATCAGTCAGACGGGAATCGAAAATTAGTTGTCATGGATGAGGTAAAGTTCGATTTCTATACTGCCCTACAAAGCAAAAAGGCAGTAACTGCAGTCTTGGTCTAACATGAATTATTATCATTTTCATGATATTCAAGGCATGCTTTGTTATGTGACAAAACTTCTTATCTTAAATGTGTGTAGTTTTGGAGAAAAATGGTAGTCGTTTGGACGGTAACTGCAAAAAGCCCTCGTGAAAGTCATTTTTCTCAGTTCTGCACTCTGCATAGTTACTGCCTTTTTGCTTTTTAGGGCAGTATAACTGTTGCGTTTAATGACATGCTTGTTTTTCATTAAACTGAAATAACCGCAAGAAAAGTAAGGTTTAAAAGCAAATTAGTTATCACAGATGTTAGGGGAGAGCCGGGACGTTTGAAACACTTTTCAGATAAACGTCGTTTTCTAAAATACAGCCAACAGTTCACATTCTGAGAAGTATTCGCGGTGAATATGACCTTACGATTTTTCACATCATATGCATAGACAACAAGACATTCTAACAATAATACTAATTGTTTTGCATGGTTTACTGACATGAAATTTGAATACAGAACACGGTGTTACTCACCTGTCAAGTAAAACACATGCAAGATCGGCGTCTCTTTCTAGTTAGTTTTTCACGAAGTTCTCTCAAATTAAGGAAATGCCACACCGATGTTGACCTGGTTTTATTTCTCTTGTCCCAAATTCTTCTTGGGTCGTTTGGTTGACCCGTTCGTTGACGTTTGCGTTTATGAGACTTGTCTTTGTAGACAGAACCAGGTGCAATCGCTAAAGAATAATTGCGCTCCATTCCATAACAAATGCGCGAAACAAGCTCACGTTTGTTGCTTGGTAGATGCTAACGCACAACTACAACTTCCGCATTTGTCCAGGACTACACGCAGTACGAGCGGAAACCGAGGTAACGCAGATATGACGCGATTTACTGGCGATTCCCAGCTCATGCCTGCTCACACGCCCCGTTTCCTTGGTTAAAAATCTCAATTTTCTCACGATTTAAACATTGTTTGAAACATTTGGAATATTGTAAGTTGTCATCTTAACTAAATATATAACACTGGCCTTGTGATTTTGGGATATTTTAATGCAAAAATCTTAGGTATTCCACCTTTAATATTTACATACACATTTAACTTTTAATTTCATGCTCAAAGACACACTTCCTTCAGGTTTTCATCCTCTGAATGCTTTCTTTACCCCTGCACACTCTCACTCTTTCCATGCTGTCTCTCATGGTCTTATCTGTGCTTCAGTATCTTTACTCCATGTATTATCTCTTTTCTATATATACTCTCATTGTGATTATGGATGAAGTGAGGGTGGAGATATTTATCCAGCAAGGATCAGTCAATGCCCTGTGAAAGTGCTCAGCATGGACTGAAGGCCAATTTATACTTCTGCGTCGAAGGGTACGCCGTAGTGTACGACGTTGGCTACGCACGTAGGCGACGCAGTTGTGAGCATTTATACTTCTGCGTTCAGGTCTTGGTTGCTCTGCAGTACTGCTCTGAAACGCTAGTTGGCGGCAGAGGGTTTTAATGCTCCACTGTGTTTAGATTCCTTGCGGCTAGTTTACTATGGTTACTACAAGCAATAGCGACTGAAAGAGAGCGGATCATGTTGGAGTTGGAGCTTATTGATGTGGAAAAACAGTTAATTTTAGTGAAATTACTAAAACTGAAAGGTAGAAATAAGAGATGACGTCGGAGGAGATGGTACGTGTGGAAATGCGTGAGAAGGTACGTGCGGAAATGCGTAGGAGGAAATACGATGCTACCAAGCCGACCAATCACCGATCTTGCGGTCCGCGTCGTCGCGACGTGCAGTTACATTTTTGAGGAGGTGCGCGTCAGGCTACGTCGAAGGGTGCGCGATATCGGACGCGTCTGTGCGTATGCTACGCTGTACTTACCGCGCGCACCCTACGCAGAAGTATAAATTGGCCTTGAGTGTCGATCCTCCCTGAACCCACTCCATCATGCATTGACAGGTGTTTTAACATTCTGCTGATCAGATACACTGCCAGCAACAGGGAGAGGGATACGTTTAGAAAGAGGAAACGGAAGGCAACAGAATAAGGCGGCTACATTTGTTGTGTTTTTTAATAGTGAGAATCATTGAGCTGTTAACTGAGCTACTGATTCAAGACCATTTACTTGATGTTTACAGGTTCTAAAATCTTTGGAATCTGTTCAATGTGTTTTAAAATAATAGTTTACATACAATCTTAAAAATAAAAGCTCCTCATTGACATTGATGGTTCCATGAAGAACATGTAACATCCATTTTATGGTTCTCATTTAAAAACCATGTAACATGTTTAATCCAATCAGAGGTTCTTTATAGTAGACAAAAAAGGTTCTCCGGAGAACTGACATTTTTTCTTTGATGGAATTGCTAAAATGGAATTGCCCCTTTTCAAAACCTTGGAGTATAGACAAGAAAATTAATCATTTATTCATTCTTATGTCATTCTTTACCAATATGCGGTCGATGTTCTGTGGAAGACAAAGGAGTATTTATGATGAATAATAATAAATTAAGAAAGTAAAAAAAGCACCATAAAAGTAGTTTTTTGACCATTACATTTTTTCAAAGAATCCTTTCACAAATCTAACTAAACAAATAGGGATGGGACGGTATGAAAATTTCATATCACGATTATAGTGTCCAAAATAATCGTGATTATCAATATTATCACAGTTTTGTTAAAAATTTATGAAAGTGCTCAAAAAGAACTGATGCTCACACTGAAAACATTTCAACAAGTTTTATAATTGAAAATCAACAAACAACAAATAAAACGAGCCTCTATATGCAGTTTTTTTTAAGCAAGATTCTATTCTATGGCATTTGCTTCTTTATAATGCCCGTCGTCAATAGCAACACATTATTACACAGCTCACATCACAACGGACACGCGCTCTTGTTTCATTCAAATACAACTTGCCGTCTTGCGTCTCCGATTTTTGATTGTATTGCAAAAATGAAATCAGAGTTGATTTTTTGCTTACAGAGTTTGATAATATTGGTGTGATATATCTTGTCTGGACGATTGTTTGACAAAATGAATTCATAAACAGGTAAGATTTAAAACATTAGCTAATCTCCTTATCAATTCAACATGGTAAAAATAAAATCGGTTTAATACGTGATGTATCTATACTTTACTATCCCTTAAAATATCACTCTTAATAATAGTCTTGTTTGAAGTTGTTCGTTCGTCTTTGGCTCAAATCCACTTGCTACGAACTTTTCTTCGCGGAAGCTTCACGTCTATTTCAAGTCAGTGACATAAAATGTTTCAACTCAAAACAACATTTCGTGCCCAATTGTTTCCCAGACGTAGTTTTGGTATTAAGGTCAAAGTTAACTTGCCTTGCGTTCGGGTGATGATCACACAAGACGACTCGGCAGATTTGAAGTGTTTCTATTGCAGTGACTTTTTGTTCGGCAGACAGGGTGACCATCCTCGATCAAGTTTCCCTCAGGACTTTTGTAAAACCCAAAATATGACCACACCTCAGATTTGGTCCTCTTAAAAGGCTGAAAAATCTCCTGAGCACGGTCACTGCCTTTCACCATTCCTTCTCGAAAAGTAATTTAAAAAAATATTGCGTACTGCGCGCCTGCGTCAGACTGGCCGACAGGATTCAGTGAGTTATAAAAATCGCGATAATCAAACACGGTTTTAATGATAATTAAATTTTAAACGATAATACTAACCGTCAGTACATTTTATCACGGTTTATAGTGAAACCGGTTATCGTCCCATCCCTATAAACAAATCACATTTATCAGTCTGATGAACTTTTACTATTTACAGATGTTTGTAAAAGACCTGAAACATACAACCTGTTACACAGAAAGAATGCACAATTAATGAATAAATTTATATGAACCAAAGTTGGTCTTGGTAGTTTGTGTTGTAACTACTTATTCTGTTTTTAGGAGGAGAAGGGATTGGTGTGGAAAAAGTCCAAACCTCAGCCCCTCCTATCCAAAATGCTTCTTCCATAGTGACTGCTTGTGCAGCAACAGCTGTATTAACAACTGTCCTGTTTGCCATTTTGTGTGTCACCTACCAGACACGGTCTTCACTCAGGAAAACATGCAAACGTATGAATATCCATACTCACAATAAATATATGTATTTTTTAAAAATTCACTAATCCACTGAGTGTGGCTTAAAACATAAATTGAACATCCTTTTCATTCAACTCTATTCTTAGGTTGTTTATCTCCGGTAAGCAACAGTCACCACAACACTGATGCTGTCTCGGTTACCATGCCAGCCCTACACACAGTAATGCAGAACACAGAAGAGGACAGATCAAGTAAGTGTGTATGACACAATGTGACTGCAACCTTTGCAGTGCTATCTTCAACTTATTATTATACACCACATGGCAAAACATCACCTTCAGAAAAAGAGTCTATTTAAAACAATCCTCTCAGCATTATAATATGGTGTTTCTAGGGGTTCAGTGCACACTGATTAGTAGTGTTATCCCATTATTATTTACCATAAATATGAAAGAAACTATTTTTGTGAATGACCTTTAGTATGGTCAGTTAATATTAGGGTCACAATTAATTCACAATGGAAGGTAATTTCCTAAATAAATAAATAAAAATTGCGGCATCGAAAAATGGTTTTAGTTTCGGTGCCGAGAATGAATATTGTATGTAACATTGATTACATTGTTCTGCATTACAAATACTAAACTATAATAATGAACCTTTAATTGTAAATTAAGCGTTCAAGCGTACTGGTAAAAGTAATTATAATGTGTCCGAAAAACAGAAAACAGACTGCCAGGACATTTTAATAATATATAGATAAAGTCAGTATTGGCTGCAAACATGGAGTTGATGATGCTGACTCATCATCTCCACAATACAGTGGATACATACACCCATAAAGAGAAATTCTCATAAAGTTGAACATCCCATGTAGAAGCCTGGTACTAATTCAGCTTCCACACTCATGATTTCCTAAAAAAATTGCATAATAATAGCACGCATCTAGGTTAACATTAAGGTTAGAGTGAAAGGCTTTGTAAAGTGCGTTACGTTAGGCAACTTTGTATGTTTCAAATGATAAGCCAAGTCTGAGGTCAATGGACGTTTGGATTTTCTGCCAATGTTAACTAATTATCAGCCATGTTAACGCTCTGTCTAAACTAACGATTATTTTGATAATTGATTAATCGGACGGTTATTTATTCGATTAATGGGATAAAAAAAATCAATTAGATTTTTTTTGTTTATTATAACTAAAAAGTGCAAAAGCCACACAGAGTTTTATTAATATCAATATTTGCATTGTTTGTAATGATAATTACTGATGGCAAGTTGACAAACATGAATAATGTAAAATATATCCAACATATTATGTTTTACCACAATTTTTGTTAAAACAAATTTACACAGATATGTGAAGATATAAACTAAAAACATCTAAAATATATATTTCATTTATTTTTTATTTTAAATGAATTGAATTATGAGGATAAATTGATCAAATAAATATAGAAAGACTGAAACCAAGTGTGTGAACGTAGAGCCGCAGTAGATCGCGTTTGAAAAACAATTAAAACTTAATAGTAGACAAATGCTATTAAAAGTGAACGGAATGGAGGTACACAGAAAGCTAACATGCTTGATTAAAAGGACAGGAAATATTATGCAGTAGTGCACAAGCATTCGCTGAAAACCGCTGAGTGCAGTGACTAAAAACTGCTATTTTTACTGCTATTTTAATCCATCACTTATGTTGCGAGCAAACTGATTGCACAACGTGATGCTCGAGACAAAATGGAGACATCCCAAGCCTCCCTGAAGTTCCGGAAGTCACCCGCATGTTGATAGCGGCTCCCTGATGCCTGCAAATTACTTCAAAGTCCCAGAATCTAGAGCGTGCAAGCAAGAGTGCGAGACAGAAGAGACTGTGCTCCTAACCGTGTAGTGCACGCGCATGAAGTGCATGAAGTGCATGTAAGACAGAGAGCATCATGATAATAGAAAAATAGATTAATTCACAATATATTTTCTCAAAACAGGACTTATTTTGATTCTCAAGTAAATTTATCTTGTTTTATATTAGACCTTATTTATTTAGAAAATTATTTTTGCACTTTATTGCACCAAAATCTTATGTGCGTATGCTTACAGTAGAAAAGGAGTGTATTTAAACTGTTAGTTCACATAAAAATGAAAATGTTGTCAATAATTACTCACCTTCATGTTGTTCCAACCCCATAAGACTTACGTTCATCTTCGGAACACTAATTCAAGATATTTTGGATGAAATCTGAGAGTTGTCTCACTCTTTCATAGACTGCTAGGTAATCAATATCTGCCATCCCAGAAAACTTAGTAAAGACTAGTGTTGTCACGGTACCAAAATTTCAGTATTCGGTACCAATACCAGTTAAAATTTACGGTTCTCGGTACCAATTTCGGTACCAAAGCTTAGTTTAGGGATGGGACGGTATGAAAATTTCATATCACGATTATAGTGTCCAAAATAATCGTGATTATCAATATTATCACGGTTTTTGTTAAAAATTTATGAAAGTGCTCAAAAAGAACTGATGCTCACACTGAAAACATTTCATTTCATTTTATAATTGAAAATCAACAAACAACAAATAAAACAAGTCTCTCTATGCAGTTTTTTAAGCAAGATTCTATTCTATGGCATTTGCTTCTTTATAATGCCAGTCGTCAATAGCAACGCATTATTACACAGCGCACATCCATAACATTCACAACGGACGCGCGCTCTTGTTTCATTCAAATACAACTTGCCGTCTTGCGTCTCCGGTTTTTGATTGTATTGCAAAAATGAAATCAGAGTTGATTTATTTTTTACATAGTTTGATAATATTGGTGTGATATATCTTGTCTGGACGATTGTTTTACAAAATGAATTCATAAACAGGTAAGATATAAAACATTAGCTAATCTCGTTATCAATTCAATATGTCCCCGTAATTATGTGGTAAAAATAAAATCGGTTTAATACGTGATGTATCTATACTTTACTATCCCTTAAAATATCACTCTTAATAATAGTCTTGTTTGAAGTTGTTCGTTCATCTTTGGCTCAAATCCACTTGCTACGAACTTTTCTTCGCGGAAGCTTCACGTCTATTTCAAGTGAGTGACATGAAATGTTTCAACTCAAAACAACATTTCGTGCCCAATTGTTTCCCAGACGTAGTTTTGGTATTAAGGTCAAAGTTAACTTGCCTTGCGTTCGGGTGATGATCACACAAGACGACTCGCAGATTTGAAGTGTTTCTATTGTAGTGACTTTTTGTTCGGCAGACAGGGTGACCATCCTCGATCAAGTTTCCCTCAGGACTTTTGTAAAACCCAAAATATGACCACACCTCAGATTTGGTCCTCTTAAAAGGCTGAAAAACCTCCTGAGCACGGTCACTGCCTTCCGCCATTCCTTCTCGAATAGTAATTTAAAAAAATATTGCGTGCTGTCAGACTGGCCGACAGGATTCAGTGAGTTATTAAAATCGCGATAATCAAACACGGTTTTAATGATAATTAAATTTTAAACGATAATACTAACCGTCAGTACATTTTATCACGGTTTATAGTGAAACCGGTTATCGTCCCATCCCTAGTTTAAATGTACATATATTTAAGTGTTTATCACGGTTAGATGTATGGAAACTGTACATTTGTATTATAAACACTTTAGAAAAAGATTAGATAAAATGACCTAAAATAAACAATAGTATACACTAACACATTTTTAAAGTTGTTTGTAAAGTTTTAATCCATTATTTATTTAATGCACAATGAATTAAGTGAACAAACATGAACAATCAGGTGTTTGTAATAAATAACATTTTCAAACATTAATTAATGTTGTAAAAATATATTGTTCACTCAATGTGTTGATAACTAAGTAATGTTGATGAATGGTATCTTTGTAGCATTACCATAAAACATGTTTTATTTGACTTGACTGTCCTTTTATTTAATCTAAAACTGCATTCATATTTAATTTTAAAAAGGCTTTTTAAACCTGCTGAATTATAAAGACAAGAATACGCCTAGAACTGGCACTGACATTAAATGACAATACTAATACCAGTAGTACTCTGGTGTCGGGTGGATACTACTGTGCTCATGTACTCGTAAAACTACCCCGAAAGCACTTTAGAGGCCGTTCACATGTCGCGCGTGTTTTTTAATTATATTTTTGCGCGTGCTTATTCTTTCCAAATAAAAGCGCTTGCTCTCACGCGGCGTCTGTCGTTGCTATGCAACGCCAACGAGTTTTTATTATGAGCGCGCTTGAATCGCGCCTATTTGAAATTGCGAATTTGCATGTAATCGGCCTCGTATGGCAACGTGACATTAACCTAATCCAAAATATTTCCATATGTGGCTCTTTCCTCCTTTCGTTTCAACAAGTGGATTCAGAGAGAGAGAGAGCCATATCAGCGTTATAAAGAGGACGCAACTGTGCACGTTTCAGACATCGCGTCTAGAACAGAACTGGATTAACCTTAGGAGTGTAACGGTACACAAAAATCACGGTTCGGTACGTACCTCGGTTTTAAAGTCACGGTTCGGTACATTTTCGATACAGCAAAAAGAAAGAAATGCCAGAGAAATTTCCTATTTGTTTAAAGAAAATTTTTTTTTTAAATAAGTGTGAGTTTTCCTAGATCTTGAAATCTTCAGGTTTATAAATAGGGGTCATCTTTGAAGGATGAACAAATAATGTTTAGGTCATCACATTAAAAATAACATTTAAATATATATTTATTTATATAATATTTGAATTTTGAAGTGCTGGAAAAAGATGTGTGAAGTACTTGAAAGCATTTCACCATTCCAGCCAAACTGGTTCCAGTTAGTGTTACTATATTAAATCCATGGTGAATGTTGCTGGTCTGTGGACGTAAAGTACTAGTTCATTCACGGCACAATGTTTCTCCTGGTTTCCATGACAGCGCTGTTTGATCTAATAATCTACGGTTAATAACGGAGAAATGTGAATCCATCTCACTAGATCTGGCAGCGATGTTATTACCTCAGTGGCGAATTCAAATGTTTTCTTTACCGGATCTCTTAGCGCGGTGTGTTAACAGTGTTGCTTGATCGAGATCGGCTCGCGCTGCACAGATGTTGCTGGTCCGAACTGATAAACGATCCGTGAAGCACATAACGAGGAGCGCAGTTTCATTCTGCTTTCATTACGCTTGCCATTTGGATGTTGCGCAACGTTGTGTTGGCCGCGTCAGCACGAATTTTGCCGGCAAGAAAAATGGTCCAAGCAATCGTTCGGTTTGTA